CATGCTCCCTCCCACCCCGGTGCCTGGCCATTGGTTTTCAGAGCCATTCACTTTTTGACAGCAGGAATGTCAGGGTTTTTCCACTGTCCAGCGGTCTTTTGGAGGACTGCCAGACACATCTTAGTCTTTAAAAGACCATTGGGTGCATGTTTAGAGTATACGCAATCTGCACTTTTGGTGCTGCAGCATCTAAGTTCTGGTAGCTGTATCGCAGAAGGGGAGTGGAGGAAGCAGCTCTTCATGCACCCTTCCTTCTCTCCCCATTTCTCTTGTGGTCTGGCAAGAGAGGTGGGAAAGATGGCTTTTTGTCCCCGTGAGCTAGCCCTGCTTCTCCCACTGCCAAAAGACGAATGGCCCTGAAAGTGGAGGGCCAGGGACCACAGAGGTGGGCCAATAGGAACACAGTAGGAACACAGGAGGCCACACTCCTAAACTTACTTTGAAATGATCCATAGAAGTCTAGCCATTCAGCACAGCTTGTGGCAACAGAGGTGGAAAACCCCTTTGGAAGCAGAGCAAGGAGACAGGGAGGCTGCATTCACAGTGGGCCGGGGCAGGTTGAGGACAGCATTGTGTATCTGTCCTTAACAAATGGACTCATAGCTCCTGCTCGAGGGGCAAGTGGCAACCATGGATAGGGGGGCCTTCTGCTTTCTCCAGTTGCGCCCATTCCTGGATTGGAAGGCCTTACTCACAGTCACTCGTGCCCTGGTCATTTCCCAGTTGGATTACTGCAACACACTCTACATGGGGCTGCCCTTGAAGATCATCTGGAAATTACAGTTGGTCCAGTAACCCCCCCCTCTGCTTAATTAAAAATAAATCCATTAAGAAGGTTAATGGGGTAACCCATTAGTATCAGGTAGTATCAGGACGCATCCATCTAGAAGTATCCTTTGCTGCACAGGGGAGTTCATGAGGCCTCAGCTCTGGCCTTCCAGCTTCCCACTCCTGGGCCCCCATTTTGAACATAATATGTGCTTTTCTGTTATGAGTTCTGCAATTCTTGCAGCTCTAATTTAGAGGTAATGGCGCATATTTATATACATATTTCAAGTTTCAAATGCAGTCAAGTCATTTCTAAACCAGTCAGTTAAAGATGCTGAATTGGTGCTTGCTTGAAAACTTCCTGCTTTAGTGTGCTATCTTTGTCCCCTGCTTGCAACTTCCAGAGCCCCCAGAGTGGGCAGGGCCAAAATTTTAGGACCCTTTATTTGTCAGAAAATGGAGTTCAAAGAGCAAAACTTATTATTTAATTTTTGCACAGTTTTAAGGTACTCTTTATCTTCTTAAAATCCTCCAGAGCCCTAGAAATGGAAAAAAGAGAGAGCTTTGGGCTTCCCCCACTTCAATAATTTCACTCTTCAATTTGTCCTTCCATCTGTTAAAGAGAGAAAATGCTGCAGTGTTTTTTGTTTATTAATATTGGAGCTATAACACTGAAAAATGCAAGCATTATATGCCCACTACAGATCAGGAAAAATCAGTTTAATTGGGAACCACAATTTTGCTATTATAAAAACACACACATAAAAATAAATAAATAAATAAATCAGGAAAAAAATGTTCTGCCATCTCTGGTGTAGCCCTCAAGCCAACAAGCTGCAGTAGAAACACAGCTGCAGAGATTCTTCAAATACATATCTTTCTACCGACTTCTAAAAAGATATTACTGCTTTTATGATAAAATCATTGGAAGTCCCCTGATTCTGATTAATTTGCATGGTGTACCACAAACACACTCCCAGATTCCTTACCCCAAATCAGCATTTTTTCACTGACTGGGGGTTGTGTGATATTGAAGGAAAGAAGGCCAAAAAAAGGGGGGGGGGCTGGAGGCTATATACAATCCATATGTCACATTTCCTTCCCAGATTACTCATACTTCCACAGGTAGTTTCCTCCTGCATGCGGAAAATTGTACTGCAGCCTCTTAACAGAGACAGTTGCTTTATCCAATAATGTGATACCCTCCATTTCTGATGTCAGTGCTTCAGGTACAATTTTTTAAAAAATTATTTGTATTGTTTTGTGGCTTCAAATCAGTTGACTCCTGGCAAGTTTTCTTGACAAGTTTTTCAGAAGTGGTTTGCCCTTGCCTCCTTCCTAGGGCTGAGAGAGAGTGACTGGCC